ACGTTATGCTGCAACCACTGCTTCAAGATATCTGTTCACAGCACGTTTTTGATAGCATTTTATAGCCACGTTTTATTTCAAATGTACGTGCATCACAGTATATTTAGTTTTGCTCACTGTATTGTATTTAGTTGTATTCGCCATCATCATCAATGTTTGCAGCTGCGCAGGTGCACGTATTGCCTTACTTACGGTACCTTTTATCGCGAAATAAACACTACAGACGGACAAGCGCAATGTATTTCCGACAAGTGCGATGAATTTCACGCTGAAAGCTACCGTAAGAACGAACCAACTTGCCCAACAAGTCACTCTACTGTATATTTCCTTACGTACGCCTTGATAGAACGCTAAAAAAATACTTGAGGAACAGTCAAGCTGGTCCGTCTTAGGAGTTCAACGTGGCCTCCTTAACTGATGCTATAGGTTTTTGCTTCGTAGCCATGTCCATAGGAATCCCTCCTAGTGAGTGAGAGAGAGTGAGGAGAGAGAGTGAGGAGAGAGAGTGAGAGAGTGAGTGAGAGTGAGGAGAGAGAGTGAGGAGAGAGAGTGAGGAGAGAGAGTGAGAGAGTGAGTGAGAGAGAGTGAGTGAGAGAGAGTGAGAGAGAGGATAGTGAAAGAGAGAGTGAGAGAGTGAGAGAGAGTGTGTGAGTGAGTGAGAGAGAGTGAGTGAGAGAGAGAGAGTGAGAGAGAGAGTGAGAGAGAGAGTGAGAGAGTTAGTGAGTGAGTGCGTGCGTGCGTGTGTGTGTATGTGTGTGTGTGTGTGTGTGTGGTGCGTGCGTGCGCCTCATGGTTGGTTGAGCATCAACCTTGCCGGAAAGCCGTCTTCCAAATTTTTGAAAATGGTTGGAGTATGTTGTTTAGAGGCCGCGCAAGCGTCCGAGCCTGGACACCACGGGTGCCAAGGAATCGCCAAGAGCTGCGAAGAACACTGCCAGCGGTAAAAAAAGCATGCGTATGTGATCCTCCGTGGCTGCTTCCGGGGGATTCACCAGCTACAACTTCGAAGCGATAAAGGAAAAATTGCCGCCCCTATCTTCCTACGGGGAGAACTCGATTAAGCGCGTCGCAGAGTGGTGGGGTATCGCGAAGATGTTGCCTAAAAGTGCATGGTTCGGGAATGCCTAATTGCTATTTCGTCCTTATTCTTTTTTTAATGAAGGAGAAGCGTTGCCTTCAACTTCAAGCGAAAGACAAGTAAAGACGCCCTTGACTCGCTTCCTGCAATAACCTGCAAGTAACCTGCAATGTAACCTTGATGCTGTCTCTGATTGGTGTGAAAAATGGTCCATGGAACTGAACTGTGACAAATCTGTGTTGCTCCAGGTAACTAACAAAAAAATGCATTCACGTCCTCCTACAGGCTGAATAACCACACGCTGAAACAAGTAGACGAATATAAATATCTAGGAGTTACTATAACAAGCCGACTAACTTGGTCCAGTCACATTAAGAAAATTTGCGCATCGGTCTTCAGAAAATTCGGGTTCCTCAGGCACAAACTAAAAGCCGCTCCTCCACGTGTTAAATTGCTAGCTTATAATTCCATTGTTAGGCCGCAACTCGAGTACGCAAGCGCAGCATGGGACCCATTCCTTAAAAAGACATTCACAAATTAGAAATGGTGCAAAGAAAGGCAGTCCGGTTCATCTTTAACAGCGATCATAGCCGAGCTTCTCCATCGCTTCTCATGGAAAACAACAATATAATGACCCTGGAACACAGGAGGCAGGTTGCGCGTCTAAGATTTCTGTTTTTGCTTAATTCCCAACAATTCAATATTAATCCAGGACTTTATACTCAGCCCCGCTTATCTCGTTCAACTCGAAGCACCCATGAGCACAATCTAACTCCAATTTTTGCACGCACTAATCTTTTAAGCACTCCTTCTTTCTTCGCACACACGAGCAGTGGAATAGATTGCCTGTTGATGTGTTTTCGGCGCGTGATGTGACGAATTTTGAAAAGCGTGTACTTTCTGCAATATTTTAAACATTCACTGTGCCGCTATGTTTCTTTGTGTACTGCTTTTTTTTTCCTCACTTGTTGGACTGTTTTCAGAATTGTGTACCAATTTACCATGCGGATTGATGCTTTCTATGTAATTAATCCCTGCCAACCTGCTTGGTCTTTGGACTGCAGTATGTCTTAAATCAATAAATAAAATAGACTGAACTCTGAACGCGCGATCTAGTGCATACATATACGAGGTGGCCAATGAATGGTTGTGCAGCGCGAGTAGTTTTTTTTTTTTACTAAAATATTTCACCTCCGATAGCCTTGCGAACCGAGGGAGGAGATGAAAGAGGCAGTTTTGCGGGCGTCTTCCTGGTTCGGCACGAGAAGCGAGCATACGCATTTGGGGTGTGGACAGCACCACCGCCGACGCCGAAGCGCCACATCGTGCGGCTAAGAAATGCTGCGCATTCAAAAGGCTTCACTACGTATAAATATAGTCGGCACCAAGCCAGCCAGTGCGAGTGCGTCGCCGGGGCAAGTGAAACAAGTGCCGCATCGATTTAGTGTCATAGAAAATAATGCCTGCTGGAGCAAAGTATACAGTCCGCATTGTGTCTTTCACTCCATGCCGCAACCTCTGTAGAACCTCTAGCGTGAAGGCGAGCACCGGTTCGAGGCAGACGGAACCAACGTCAGGCCGCTGGTGCAGTGCCAATTTGAGCACGGTGAAAATCCGCAGTCCGAGACGTCTCGTTCTATATAGTGACCTAGAATAGGGGAGTGTCTGCGCTTGTCCTTGTCTTTTTCCCGCCCGTGTTTTCTACCGCGTAGCACTCGATCTTAGATCATGTATCACCAACTGGCCCAGTCGTCCGCCTTGAGTGTCTATAAAGTGCCACGTGAATATACGGGAGGAGCGAGGGCCTTTTGCGGTGAACTTCAGCACAGTGGCGTTGCCATGGCGGAAGCAGTAAGGCCTTAGGAAGCAATGTTGCACATAACTTTACCATCTGTCGAGCACCATCACGTGGTGCATAATGGCGTCAAGTATTCAATTTCACCGTGGTGAATCCAACTTCACGGACACGATGGCGTGGCACTCGCGCCGACTTGTTTCCGTTACTTTCATCCTCATTAGTTCTTTTTTTTTTCAAACAGAAGAGCCGCTGTGAATGATGTTTAATGACAAAGTGAGTTTGTCAGTGATCACCAGCGTAACCACACGCGCAGTGGTCTTTTGGGGACAATCACTGACCAGCTGACTTGGACGGTCAAAATACACCCACCTGATCGTCGACCATACGTGCTTGATATCTTAGCCAAACGCACTTATAGGTGAATAGTCATGCCTTCCGCCCCGGTGAAAAAAAATGTGTGAGCATGCTGAAAATAACGACATCATTTTGCATTGCAAGTTATCACGCGGTATTCGACCGTAGCGTACAACAGAAGGCAGGCGGGATCAGCCTTCGCTGTAATATTCTCTCTGCATGCCACTCGATAAATGAGCACACATTCGGTTATATACAGATTCACAAAGAGCATTATACATTCGGTTCACTTATGGTACCAGTGAAACCATTTAACATTTCAATTGCCTAAATCATATTGAAATCGCACTCGATCTTGTAGTTCACATTTTGTGAAACTCAGTCTCTTTAAGTCCACTTAATAAACCTTCGGTTCATTTTAATTCTCACATTGTTCACCTAATTCACATTAACTGTTCTATGCCCTGTGCTGCCCCGAGATTGGCGGAACGCCGTAAAACTGATTTACACGTCACCTCGTCCACGGACGCGAAACCTTTCTAAAGCCATAGAGAGTGTAATCTTGCTCAGCGCGTGCAAATGAGTCTGTCATGTCGTCCGCGCCAGAACATCGTGCCGTATTTGCCTCCTGCGCTCTAGGAGTGGCTTGAGTGCGCAGCCGTTGAGCATAAGGGCGGAATTATGTGCCGCGTCAAAGCGATGAGCGTCTGCTAAGCACCTGATATTTTGGCCGCTATTTGACAAGGTTGTGGCGATTCGGGTGAATTTTAATACCACTTCACAACAAGATGCGTTGTAGTACACCGCTCTGTAAGACGTCACGAATAGCGGACACGTATTTTGCATTAGTGTTTAGGACAACGACGTCGGAAACTTCACTTGAGATGCATTCTGGGATCGCCAGCCGTTCTCCGCAGCAACTGTAGCGCAATTTTTTCTGTCGTGAAAGACGAACTAGCCCAAAACCTCACTCTGCTCACTGTTCACTAGAAAACTGGTTAATATAGGTTAACCAATGTCAAACTTATACTGGTAGACATTCTTACTAGTCGCAACTGGTTCAAAAGTATGGGTTGCTTGTAGGCGTGCTCGGCCGGCACGCTAGACCTGACTTGGTAGTGGCGCTATGTGGGACTTATCACAGCGCAGGTGGGTTGCATAGTTCGCGGTCTATGTACTTCGAAATATTTTTCACTCTTACCTTAAAGTTAGGCTGAGCTCACTGGAAGTGCGAGAACAGCCGGTGATAAGTTTGATATCAAGCGACGGCTGTTTTTCTGGTCTCAGTTGTAAAAGATTGTGAAGCCATACTTTGCTCACATGCCAAACGCATGGCAGTGCAACAGTACGTTGCCTCTGCTTGCGCTGACGCCGCAGGACTAGCAAACCCAGTGACCGAAACATTACAGCAACGCGTCATGAATGCGAAACACGCGTGCAGACACTAGCGCACAACACTTAAACATTCGCCGCTACAGCACGTGCCACACGAACATTAACGCCGTAACTGAAAAAATGTGACTAAAAATAGTGGAATGATCAGAGTTTTCTACTTGCGTTTATCAACATACTTTTCTGTCTACAAGATGGGGAGACACAAACAGTGACTTGATTTTGTTTTGTGTTTATTTTGTACAGAATGATCAGGGGCGTATTCAGAAATCTTTTTCGGGAGGAGGAGAAGTCCAGTGCTTCTGAAGTGGTGGCCGGACAGGCAGATGTGGTCGAGTGTCATTTTGGGGCTTGTATGCCATGGCGAAAATGAAAGTAAAAAATTTCGAAGGGGCATGGGCCCGGTGCAGCCATCACTTCTGACCCACTGAAAAAGCTTCCTGAAAGAATTCACCGATTACACAAGACCTTTGGAAACGCACCTCACGGACATTAAATAAGTCTACTAGACTGAAATGATTGCAGAACGTGCGCACGCAGCATACACGCAGCATTTGGACGAGCACACAGACTAGCGCATCCATAGAAACAAATGCTGGCGCACGCTGCAGCAGGTTGAGATTACGAGCCAGCTCCAACGTAGCATTCCTAAAGCAGAAGCACGAGCGTAACCGTTTACGAACAAGAATGCGTAGAACATAGCCGACGCTAACGATGAGTCTCCTATAGCGTCTCAACAGCATAGCACTGGAAAGGCAGGACAGCAAGATACCCGAGAACCTACGGCCCTTATCGTACAGTAAGTAGAACGAATACTGCAGAAGGTTGTACGATGAATTTGCATTAAAAATGTGTCGCGCTGTCTTCTGGGAGTGCTTGTGTCGTGGCTGAAGGGCGCAGCTTTCTGGAGTGATGGTGTATGACCCGTAGGACGGTGTGAAACACTGCTGCGAGTAGTAGAGGTCATCGACTGCACACAAATTACGGTGTTGAGCAGAGTATTATTATGGACCATGGTATTATGGACGGTAGGCCTCAGGGCACCGACAGGCCTGAGGTAGAGTGGCAGACACAGTCGGCAACGAGACAAGCGAGGCGCTGAATGTCATCTGAGGGGGGTCAAGGTGGAGCGCTACAGAAAAAAAAAATGAAGTAAAAAGGGTGTCTTTTTGTCCCACAACAATAATCGTGCAGGCTTGCCTGCACTTCCTTTCTTGAAAACTCGGCGCTGGCCACTTTCCTATCAAGAATGCAATGTAACCCTGATAATGGGCATGTCGATCGTGATCGGAATGTACCGGGCAGCGGGGCGATAGCGCAAGGATGGAACGCAATATAGATCGATTATTGTTGTGGGACAAAAAGACACCCTTTTTACTCGCTCTTTTTTTAGAGTGTACACGATTCATCGAGCGTATACCAGATAGCAAAGGCTGCTGCAGAACTGAAATGACAAGCAGGCAACTGATAATCCCCTGCCAGCACAAGATTGCAGCACCCGTAGCGAAAAGTCAGTACATTTACGTACAGTTGACCACGTGCAAAGCCTGAATGGCAGGTTTCTTGGGGTGCAGGACGCCCAGTAGTCAGCAAGGCAGGAGGGAGAATACCATCGGACGCTGAATTTCAGCTCTGTCAGACATGGCTGAACGGGTGGACGAAAATTCATCGTGTAGACTGAAACGATAAACAATCGTTTCACTGAATTAGCGAACACAAATTCGCTGTACAGCCCGGAAGACCTCGATGCACTTACGCAAAGTGAATGAAATACAGGTTTACACACACAAATTTCACATTTCGAGAGGTCGTAGGCGCTGAGCGTTCTGCATGTGGAACATGACCAGGTGCAGAAACATGTACATGATGTCAAGGCGCGTGTCCCGGACCTGAAAATATAAAAATTACGCCTGATCAAGTACGAAAAGAAGAGGAAAGCACGTACTTACCCCGTTAGCGCTTTCGTAAGCAGATACACAGGGTCTGCATAACGTTCAGCGACCAAAACACGGCGGGACACGAAATAAGGCGAGATATGGAAGGAAGAAAAAACAAGGACACACTCTAGCCCCAGCACGCGTTGCCACGCTACGGACGGAAGGCAACGTTCATTCTTCAGTGAAGACCTTCAAGTGTGAAACTAACATTCCGCATGCCATTCACTTTCCCGACATTTCGCGCGTGGGCGCGTTTCGCCGCGAAATTATGAACGTGAAAGAATGACATGCGGAACGGGCCGATATCCTTGTCGCAAGCCGGAAAGGACCACTGTTAGCTGTTGCCTTCGAAGTGTTTGCTATAGCCCTGCCTAATGTTAGCTGCGCCTCAACATCCCATCCAGTCCTTTCCGCTTCCGCCATGGAGACGACCCGATGTGGCCACGGCACGTCGTACCAAATTTAATGCAACTATACTGCGCCCATTTGGCCAATCAGGTTTACAACTAGCCGGTTTTACAGCAAACGAAAGTTAATGGCCGTGTCACGGCATAGGTGTGTGCGTAGCTCACCTCAAAGAGTTTCCAAAGCTAGAAGCTTCCGCGTTGATTGAAAGGGTAGTTCCACGAGCTCTTCGTTGCCTAGGCTCGACCTACGGGATTGTGAAGAGGCATAATAGAAGTCAACGGCACTCAGGCACAACTTCATTGAAACGAATGCAGCAACAGGTAAACTGTTGTGGTGTCATGCACACGGCGTAATGACACTCACTTGAGAAGGGCTTGAAACAGCTACCAGAGATATATGACGTACGGCACGTACGCTTGATCGACACGCGCGCGAAAGGTACAGCCTCCCCTGACAATGCGATGGGACGGGTTCCCAGTGGCCGTTCTTTTACACATTACACAGCTGCGTTCCTGCGCTTGTAGACGCCTTTCCTTCGTGCGCCGTTATCGCGATTCACCGCTGGTTCGATAAGACAGACAAGGCTGACTCCCGCACACAATTCCATCAGAGCTGATATATGTCGATATCTGCGTTTAATGTAAGACACGTTTGTTTGTTTGTTTCGATCTTGTGTCTGCATGAAACTGCACATTCACCAAATTTCAACGTGTATTTACAATCACAACAATGCCGTAAACGATTGAACAGTGGTCACAAGCGTTTGTGTCCCCTGTGTGTGCGCTGCGTGACATCGTATTTGGTTGCAGCGATCGCTTATATTGAAGTGTGAAACACGTGACAATGCAAAGCCGGCCAAAAATAATTTGCTGCCGTGTGTTATTTGCGGCCAGTGTAGCCACGTTCTGGAGGTGGCGGCGAAGCGTCGTGACGAATGGTTCAGCTGTCTTCGCCTGGCCATGTGGTAAGCCATGTGAGCCTGACCATGTGGCAAATGCCGTGTGGTAAGCGTCTGAAGGTGCTTTAACTGCAAATGGAAATTCGGTTGAGTTCAGATTCTGACAGCTGCGTATAAAAAAGGAGGGAATGCATTCAATCAGACGTGAACGAAAAACGAATAAAATTGCGATGACTCAGTAAATGCATTTCATTTCTACCGCACTGCATGTACCATCGAGGACACAGTGCAGTACCGTAGGCAGAATTGAATCTGGAGCGGGGGACAGGGCAGAAGAATGGTCATACTGCGCTATGTATGCGGAAGAAATTTGCGAAGAGGGGGTCCTCTGTGCCATCTCTTGGCTGCGCCACTGGTCATGACAATATATACTGCACGTCTTATCCCTTTTTTTTCTCCCTGGCGACATGTTTTGGGACCTGTATGGATAGCCTCCATTTGTGGCATCACATCAAGAATTCGATATTGGACGATAACAGCGCATTGTGCTCCGCACAATACTGAAGGCAGCGCGGCATTGGCTCGAAGAGTACAAACTCCACTCCAGCATATGCCGGCGCGCTCCAGTATAAATTCCAGATTGCAAGCTCAGCGCTTCTCAATTTGCCCCATGGAGCGTCGCATCGGCGAAGCCAGCGCCCGCAATGTACAACCCAACTGTTTCCCAGTGATGCCACCGAAGTGTCAGCGCAACCGATCGTCCACCAGATCGGTGGACAGAACTGACCTTTTGGTGTATCTACTGAAACAACGCTGTTTTTTTTTTTGGTAGCGGGAATTTCGATGTACTTGCAGTAGACGATAGCTTGAAAAACAATGTTAAAGGAGTACTGGCACAAAATTCGCGGCCGAGATAACCTGCGGGATCGATTTCCGTGAACATGCCTCTATCACTGCAAAATATCAACCGCGAATATAGCGTGGAAAGTATTTTAAATTAATATTGAAGTTTGCGTGAGCGATTGACTCCCTCGCGCTATTTACACCTTTAAATGTGACCTCCTATACTACTTCCCTCACGTGACCACGCTGCAACAAGTTACGGTGAAGTGATAGCCGCCATTTTCATTTTGCCGCGTTTGCGCCAGCAGACTGGTATGGTTGAGGTGTCCAACGAGCAGCAAAGCGTGGCAAGCAAATGACTGATTACGCGATCAAGGTCCACTGTCGAAGGCACTGCGTCGTCGAAATTTTATCGCAGGTAGTTGCCAAACACGGCATTTGTCCATTTCGAACAGGCTGTGTGCTGCGCAAGCACGGAGGAAGGAAACACAAAAGGAGACGAGAAATACTGCATTATTACCTTCAGTAACTGCCCCGATCTACCTTATTTTCATGAGGTACCTCACTTTCTCGGTCTTCCAAAGCAGTGTGCATCTAATGCACGGTGTCCGTCCTACGTAAGTTAGGGCAGCGACATGTAATGTGAGAAATGGTGGAGGCTCCACTCCAGCCTGCACAACGTTGCACACAACTGCCGTTCTTTCAACACGAAAAAAAAAAGCGCGTTAGTTCGAGACGGAATGTTGTATTACAAGACAATTTTATGCGCAAATTTTTTGGGCAATCTATTAGGAGTCATTGTTGAAGTGTCAAGATAAAAAAGAGTCGAACGAAATGCCTCGTCAAGTCCAACAAGCGTATTTTAGAAGTTAATCACGGGGCCCGTTTGAATAATGCCCTAAAACAATGAAACTACTCGGCTAGGGTGGATGCTTGGAAGAGCATTCCAGGAACAGACCTAAAATATCCCACTCCACCTCGTATTCAGATAACATCCTCAGTTCTGTTTATTGGCCGAATGACATTGTCGTCGACCTCCTGTATTCTAGTTGAGAGAATGTAAATTAAGAAGTTCCATACTGAGGTGTGTCCACTGCTTATAAAAAGCGGTGAAGAACATAATGTTGCGCCAATTATAAAACAGCTTCAATGACTTTTTTTTCAAAAAGGTTTCATCGGTTTTGATGAAATACAACATCAAACTCTAGTCGCAGGGCGAGTAATAATAAGTAAAAAAGAAGACCTAGGTCCAAGAAAAGAGAACGAGGAAGAGTCCAACAAACGCAATAACACTTTGAAACAGCATTCGAACGTGAGAAAAATGTTTAAAACCGAAAAATGAGCGTCTTAGACTGGACAGCCGTTGGAAGAACAGTGTGGCAGCAAAGCGTGCCTCCAAGCGCCATCATGTGGAATCGGCAATGAAGGCCCATCGTCTAGAGTGCTCCCAAAGCGGAACACAGCAGCAGGCACCGCAGAAGAACTGGGTCAACAACAAAATGCGAAATGAAGATATTATAAAGCTCTCCTCGCCATGATATATCCACACAACGCGAACTGCAGAGAATCGAGAGTGTCAGGGGGAAAAAAAAGATACATCTCTGGGAAATGTGCCAACAAACGGCATCGACGAAGAGACAGGCAGCGAGAAGAGCAGATCGAGAGGATTGCGACGCCTTGGAAAAAAAAGCGAAGACAGATGAAGCGACTGTCCGAGGGCCTCTTGCTTGAAGGAAAGACAAGAAAGGCTCTCGTACAAAGCATGCAGCGTTCAATGACGTAGCATTTTCAGCACGTGTGCCACAATGTCAGTTGAAACTGTGAGGCGATGAGAGCGCCAGGACGGAATGTGCCAGCCATCCTCGCGTGTTTGTGTTTATAAATCCGAACAACGCATGTACTGTGGGAATTCAGAGGAATAGACAGGAGCTGCAAAAAAAAAAACATTATACGGCTGAAGGAGAAAGTGAACCGCATGACACGACAAGAGACGTGCAGAGTGCGTTAAAACCCGCAATTTATTTGCTACACGAGCAACGACTGACACTCTCGTTTCTCTTCCAAGCACTTCCGGTAGAGCTCTCACTTCTGGTTTTTACGCATATTTGAGACATTGTGTCTTTAAAAAATGAAACAGGCACGAAGGTCCTGATTCAAGTTAAATATTGGGCACATATGATTTTGGAGGATATGCTACTCAAAAAGTTAAAATACTAGACAATTAACTATTATAACAACGATTGAAGGTTGATTGGTTGAGTTGAATGAAAGAGCAGACGTTTGTTTGCAAATGTGTTCGGGGCAAACCCTAACGAAGCACATCTCAACGATACAAGCAGTCAACCCAAGAAATACATCCGCGCACACAATTCTTTGTGCACGCGGCGCCACATTGCCTAGGAATATTCCCTATTATTGTAAATTGTTCTGATAACCTTGAGCACACAACGCTAACAGGGCAGTTTATTGCGGAACTAATGCGGTCACTAACGACGAGCCTGGAAACTTCGATGCCACGTGCAGAATTGCCGACGCGCCTTACCGCTGATCAAATACCGGCGTGCGACGGCTGCGACTGGAGCTATCAGTGTACAGCGTGTATTTCTTACACTGAATTTTCATTTCTTGAGCGCATGTTCGTCTAACAAAGAGTTTTGTCTATAAAGGGTCACACTCACAAAGAAGTTTCATTTATTTTTTCGAAGCTCTCTGTGTTCTAGAAAATGTACTGATAAGCGTGAGTACACCCTGAGCGCCTGAACAAGTAATTACAGTATATCCTTAAAAGCTAGTCT